CAGAATAGCCGGAACAATCTCAAAAAAAAAAAAAAAGTTGGAGGACTCGCACATCTCAATTTAAAAACTTACTACAAAGCTAAAGTAATCAAAAGCATGTAGTACTAGGATAAGGACAGTCATACAGGTCAATGCAGTGGAACTGAGAGTCCAGAGGTAAACTCATGCATCTACGGTTAGCTGGATTTTGACAAGGGAACCAAGATTACTCAATAGAAAAAACAGTCTTCCAACAAATAGTGCTGGGGTAACTAGATATCCCTAGGCGAGATAAGGAAGTTGAACCTCTACCTCATATCACATATATAATTTGACCCAAAATGGATCAAAGACCTAAATATAATCTGTAAAGCTATAAAATTCTTAGAATAAAAACAGGTGTAAATCTTGTGATCTTGGATTAGGCAACAGTTTCTCAAATGTAACATCTAAAGCACAGGCAATCAAAGAAAAAAACTGCTATACTGGACTTCATAAAAATTTAAAGAGAGCCCACAGAAAGGGAGAAAAATATCTGCAAATCACATATCTGATAAGGGTCTACTATCCAGAATATATAAAGGACTCTTACAATTCAACAATTAAAAGACATTAAATAACCCAGTTTAAACACTGGTAAAGGATCCGAATAGACATTTCTCCAAAGAAGATACACAAATGGCCTATAAGCACATAAAAAGATGCCCAACATCATTAGTCATTAGTGAAATGCAAATAAAAACCAAAACGAAGTACCACTTTCACACCTACTGGGATGGCTATTCTAAAAAAGTGGAAAATAACATGTGTTGGTGAGGATGTGGTGAAACGGGAGCCCTTGAAAATTGCTGATGGGAAGGTAAAACTGTTCAGTACTGTGGAAAACAGTCTGGTGGTTCTTCAATAAGTTAAACATAATATTACTATATGACCCAGCAATTCCACTCCTAGATATATATCCCAAAGACCTGAAAACAGGTACTTACACAAATGTTTATAGCAGCACTAATCAGAACAGCTTAAAGATAGAAACAGTGCAAATATCCATCAACAGATAAATTTTGTGTATATATAGACATACAAACACAATGAATATTACTCAGCCATAAAAATATTATGCTAAGTGAAAGAAGCCAGATACAAAAGATCATATATTGTATGATTATATTTATGTGAAGTATCCATAAATAGGTAAATCCATATAGATAAAATGCAGATCTCTGGTTGTCAGGGGCTGAGGGGAGGAGGGAATGGGGAGTGATTGCTTAGTGGGTATTGGGTTAATGGGTATTGGGTTTCCTTTTGCAGTGATGAAAACATTTTGGAACTAGACAAAGGTGGTGGTTGCACAATATTTTGAATGTACTAAATGCCAATGAACTGTTCACTTTAAAATGGCTGATTTTGTAGTGTGTGAATTTCACTTCAATTAGAAAAAAAAACACAATGAGATACTTTACACCTATCAGGATGGGTATAGTTTTTTTTTAAGTGGACAATAACAATTGTCGACGAGGACATGGAGATAGTGGAATCATATATTGCTAGTGGGATTATAAAATGGTGCAGCTACCTTGTAGAACAGTTTGGCAGTTTCTCAAAGTGATAAACAGAATTTTCAGATGACCCAGTAGTTTTATTCCTGGGGAAATGAAAATACATGCTCATAAAAAAAACTGTACACAAATGTTCATAGCACTATTCTTAACAGCCAAAAAGTGGAAACAGTCTGAATGTCTATCAACTGATAAATGGATAAACAAAATGTGGTATATTCATACAATGTCATTCAGCCATAAAAAAGAATGAAGTCCTTATATACACTATAATATGGGCAAACCTTGAGAACAATATGCTAAATAAAGAAGCCAGACCCAAAAAGCCACATACTGTTTGATCCTTTTTACATGCAATGTCCAGAATAGACAAATCCAATGAGATAGAGAGAAGAATAGTAGTTACCAGGGCCAGGGCCAGGAGCAATAAGGAGTGATTCCTAATGGGTACTGGGGTTTTTCTGGGGTGATAAAAATGTTCTAGAGTAAGATAGTAGTGGTGTTTGCACAAACTTGTGAACATACTAAGAAACCACTATGTTGCATATTTTAAGAAGGTACATTTATGGTATATTAATTATATCAATAATAAAAGGTACTAGAATAATCAGATGATTCATCTAAAAAATAAATGAACCTTGGACTATATCTTTTATGATATACAAAAATTAACTTGAAGTGGATCACAGACCTACTGTAAAACCTAAATTCAAAAAACTAGAGCAGAACAAAGGAAAAAATCTCTGTGTTCTTATATTAGGCAAAAACTTCTTAGATATGACACAAAAACTATCATCCATAAAATTTTAAAAATAGATAAACTGGACTTAATCAAAATATAAAACTTCTGCTCTTTTTTAAAGAGTATGAAAAGACAAAGCATAAAATAGAAGAAAAATACATAAAGTACATATAAAATTTGCTTATATACAAATAGTAAGAATTTTTCACATAAGAATTAATGGCTATTATTAAATTTCTGAAAAA